AATGGTATATGTGAGAATTTATATTATGTATTTACTTTAATAATGATTAAGGACACTTGATTTAAAATGGCCATATAGTTTTCCTAGTTTCATTTATTTGCTTGTTATTTTACAATCGCTTCAGGCTACTGCTTTGATGTTTATAAAAGCTGTAATTTTTCTGGAAGCCTTGAAATTAATTTAGAAACAATTTAATATCCAATTTTAAGCAAACAATTAAAGATATAAGCAGACAAAACTAATCAGAATGCATTGGTATGAACATATTTAAAGAGTGTGTGTAGGCGGAAAAACATATTCTTGCCTCAGATGGTTCTTAAATATTTATAACATCGTAGATATTTATATATGAGACTTCCACATTTCAAGGCAATCCCTGGTACAAAGTAAGTACTTAGGAAACATGTGTTAAATAAATGATTAACACACTTTGCCAAACACAGATAAGTGTGCATCACTACATCATAAACATACTCTCTAAGAATTATGGAATTTTAAAAATTGAAAACCTCTATTCATGTGATGTGTAACATATTTGCTGGAGGAAGTAGGTACAAAGTTCTTGGATAAATGTCTCCTCACATCTGTTTTGTTTGGTGTACAGCATGGCAATTTTAACTACCTTTTCCAAATCCTCTTCAATTTATGCACCTGTGAACTTAAACTCAAATATTATTAGAAAGGTTCCATCCTTCTAGGGAAGTCACAGTTTTTTCTTCTTATTTTAGGAAGCATCTTTGTTGGGTTAGTTGCATTTGTATAATTTTACCTGGTGCCTCGTAATTTCTTATAAAAAATCCCATGTAGGCCTCCTGGACTGGAAAGAACACTATACTAAATTCTGCTTTCTTTATTCAGTTTATTTTACCCCTTCCTAACAATTTTGCTTGTTATATAATGTTGATTTCCTATAGTCATTTTAAATCTTCCCCCAAATCCATATAGTTTTGTTTCATGCTTCACTCCAAATGTCTGGTGAATACCCAATTAACCCATGGAGTTAAAAGGATTTTGTTTTACCAGCCACATAGTAGTGTGTCAATGTCCCTGTTACTCATTTAAAACAGACCCACTTTTATGTAGGCATCCATCTGTCCTCCACCTCTTGCTCATAGCCTGTTGTTTTGGAGGAAGCTGGCCCTCCCCCTGCCTCAGGACTGGGCCTGATCAATACAGTGGAATGCCTACTCCTTTTGTTGAAGATTGGGTAATGAATGTGACCCAACCCAAGCCCAGTGAGATGTGAGGAGAGGTTTTTTGGGGCTTCTGGGGAAGACCTCAACTTCTAGTGGAGCTCCCAGTAGCTACTGGCTTTCTCCTCCTACTGCTGTTACATGGAGCTGTGAGGCCAGCCATCTTGCCTTCATCTTGAGGAAAAAAAATCAATCACTGCAGAGGGCACTGAAGGAGGACAGGGCAGGGGAGGGGGTCCTAACAAATATAACTAAGAATAATGACATAATCCACAAATAATGACATCCTTGCTTTTAAGTCAAAGGTTGGGAAGGTAGTCTTTGTTCTATTCTTACCTGTATCCCCTCCATAAAGATGGATTTAAAATATTTGTGGTAAAATATACACAGCATAGAATTTACCATTTATTTTTTATTATTTTGAAGGTAGTAAAACACAACAGAACAAGACAGAACAAAGCCAACTGAGACAGTGTAGTGAAATTGGTACAGAATTCCACAGCAGGTTACCGGGATAATAGTAATAGGTGCCATAGTATAGCCTGTTACCTTCACAATAGTTGTTCTTTCAATCAGGTATAGCAAAATCAAATGAAATACAGAACATTATAGAACTTATCAAAACAGAATTTTGAATAGAGTAATACCATTAATCAGAACAAAGCAAAACAGTGATAAAAATATTTTCCCTTGAAGAGATGGTAGAAGGAAATCCCCCCTATTTGCTATATTGCATACGGTCAACCTCCCAAGAGATGCTCAGACCTCTGGCTCCCATTTGCAAATGGCGGGGTGGGGGGGTGTGATGGTGGTGGATGGGATGTTTGATTCTCAAACTGCGTGCCCGTAGGCTCAGGGCTGCTTACCAGGGAGGCAAGCTGGTTGCTTGGTTTCCCAGAGCCCTAAATTCCAAAATGGTGTGGATCTTGGGAGATGCTGGGTGGTTCTCACCCTGAGGCGGCTGGAATTTACCATTTTAACCATTCAAAGTGAACAATTTAGTGCCATTATGTACATTCACATTATATTGCAACCATCACCACTCTTCATCTTTAGAGCTTTATTGTCATCCTGTTCTGAAGCACTATACCTCTTTCTTCATTCCATCCTTCATTCCTTCATTCCTTCATTCATTCCTTCTTTTTCTTTCTTGCTATTTTTTGAAACAGGGTCAGGTTCAGGCTGGCCTTGAACTCATAGCAAACCTTCTGCAGAAGAGCAACTTTTGATTGAACTGCGTTGCAGGGTTTACATTGAGTTCTACTTGCCACAAGAAGAATTTACAGTCTGTTTGAGCACCACATACACAAAAGACTGGCTTTGTCCATCAGACACATGGCAGGAAGCGTTCTTCTATGTACAAGAACAGGATTTCTTGCTCCCTCTGTTTTCCCTTTAATGAGAAAGTATGGAAAGGGAAATGGTGGCCCACTAGATTTTTAGATTTCATGCATTGTTTACTTGAAATTCAAATTTGACTGATTATCCTGTATCTTTATTTGCAAACCTGGCATGCCAAGGTAAGGAGAAGGCAGCCCATTGAATGTGACTTGAAGGGTGGTTGACGAGGCAGTGGGCACCAGTGGAGTGTGATGAAGGCTAAAAAAGACATTGACTACCATGGCAGCAGCAAGAACAGAGACAGAATGATTGTGGGCCCCATTGGCACCCTGTTTTCTCAAAGCACAGGAAAGAATATAAACTACACTTCACATGCACCCACCTAAACTTAAACTGTGGGCAAGAGAGCATAGGGAGAAATTCAAACTAATTGACCTAAAAGGACCGGAGAGAAAAGACTTGAAAGAGATAGTTACCTGCACTGTTGAGAGTAAGAAGAAATGAGAATTTAAGAACCGAGTCCCCTTGTAATGTAATAAAGTCACACTTTCCATCTCTGAGTCTGAAAGAAAACTTGTGCCTGCTATGAATAAAGCATAGGACTGATGAGAGTGTCTTAAAAATCTATCTGTATCAACAATTCCAGGACCATGGAGGTGAGATTTGATGCCCTTGAGGGAAAAGTGAGACATAGGTCAGGTGAGGATGAGGGTTTCAGAATCCCTGTTGAGAGTTTGCTTCTGCAGGTCTTGCAAGTGGCCATGGGAGGAGGGAATGAGATGGATTCAGTCCAGAGTAAGATGTTCCCCTTTTATTTTTTGTTTGTTTTGTTTTTGTTTTACTCCAACATTAAAAGCTGAGAACTTGCTGGAACTAATTATTATTAGCATGAGAAACAGCTGCTTTATGCTGATTAAGATGCTTAAAAAGCTGTTCTCTTAGGAGAGAGTTGAACTGGTTTCTCGGGAACCTCATGGTGAAAGAGCACTTTTTGCAGGGAGAGCCAAATAGGACTCTAGATCCAGGTCTGACAGTCCTGAGAGATGTCATAGACTCCACCATGCTCAGCAAGCACTGGACACGGCAGGCACCAGGAGTAAAAGGTTTGAAGGAGACTCCCCAATACTGCATGTAGAAAGGGGTAGCTATGCAGGCTGAGAAACATGCCAGGCAAGAAGCAAACAAACAGATAGACAGACAGACAAGCAAAGCCTGTCTAGTAGTAGAGGGGACATAATTCAACTTCAAGAGTCCTGAGAGGAACAATGACCCAGTGACCCAGGGGGATCTGGTAGAGGAGAAGCATCTTGTCCCGGGTCCCAAGCAGTGATTTCATCTGCCTGACAGCAGCAGGATTCAGGGAGTATGGCTAGTCCCTGCTGGCACTGGCAGGAGCCAGGAAGACTGCTCCCACCCAGTGAGAAGGAGATGAGTGAGTCACTGGGGTTGATGACCAACTGCCTTCTGCGGAGCCCTGTGGCCTGATGCAGGGAGCAGGGTTGAGCTGTCTTGCTGGAGCATGCAGGCAAGCAGGATGTGGCTCATCCTTGCTGGGAGCTCTCAGTGCTCTTGATCGATATTCACCATACAGACTTGGATATGTGTGCTAGAACTATGTGCTGGAGGCTGAGGCACTTAAGAGCATATCTTCATTGGCTTTGGAGAGCCTTTTGGGAAACGTGGAGGGCTAAGAACAGAGGAAGGTAGAGGCCATACATTTGTCACGTTCCATTTTAAAGGCTGTTGCTTGTGAAGAATAATGAGGAACAAAAATTGAAGTATTAGAACACCCGGTGTTAACTAGCAGGCTCTTCTAGATTGTGGCTTTTGATACAGCACTTTTGGCAGAGATTACTGAGTGCTTTGCACTAGATCTGGGAAGACCTGTTTGACAGGAAACACCTACCTAATTGAGAGATTCCACCCAAAATGTGTAGGGCTGAGGAGAAATTGGTCTAATAAAACAGTGAGGTCAGTTTTCACGAAGGACAACCACTATGGCACAGAAGAAATATGGAAACAGATATTTTCAGATGGAAGCATCTAGTAACTGGGTTAGGACGAAAGTGCACAGGTTTTGAGATCTATACAGTATGGTGTAGAATCTGGAGTGTCAAACAAAAAGTATTTTACATGTTTTGCACAGTGAGGTAAATATAATCCCATAGGGGTGGGGTATGCTTGAATCCAATAGCTGGCCCAGACCTGTTGTGCAGTTTGAAATGTCAGGAAGGCCAAAGCTCAGAACAAGCTAAAGCTTGTGTATGTGTGTGTGTGTGTTGGTATGGGGGAGGAAGCAAAAGAAAAGAGAAGTTTCCCCCCCAGTATATTGGAATGAGAAGAACATGGAAGGTATAGGCCTGCAGACTAGGAAATTTAGAGCAGTATTTGCAAATGTTAAACACTGTCCTCATGTTGCTTCTGTCTCTCCCAAAATAGAATGCTTCTCAAATTCCAATAGCCCAAAACACACAGAGAAACAAAGAGGGAGTGATCCAAGCTCCAAATACTTGTCTGGGATGTACACGCTGAATTTGATGTTAATTATCTTGATTGGGGACGGGGGACTGGAAGAATGGTGAAAGGAAAAAGGAAACTTTTACACAAAAGGATCTGAGTATTTACCTTAGAACGAGCTTTCTTATGTGGACTCATCCATCTCTCCCAGCCATGGAATATTTACTAAGCTTTACAGGTTGGCCTTGCCTATCTACTTGCAAACCCTCCCGACGCCAGGCTACAGAGAAAAAGCATAACGGAGTTAAAACTACAGATCACAGATCAAGGTCAAAAGCCCTGCCGATTCTTCATTCTCCAAGGTGGGTGCATAGAGAAGAAAGAGTGGAAGGGCAATAGGAGGTCCTCTGATCCTGGGGGAGGAAGAGGTGGGAACTATGTCATTTTCTGCTAATCTGACACCTGTTCCCAGCAGGTGACTTAATCGCTAATCCCTTAAAATAGCAGTTTGTTCCCTAGGTGTTCTGGGTTCCTAGTAAAAAAGGCTCTTTATTGGTTTCTTTTAAAGTGTGATATCTAATCAGAGCATGAAATATGGCAAAATATTTTGGAAAGCATAAAGAATTTTTAAAATTCAATTTTGATTTTATTTCCTAGAAACTGATTCTGTTAATAATTTCTCTAACATTTCTAGTGTAAATTTGTAATAGAGCACTTATTATAAAATTGGAATATAGAAAAAAGCTTAAGTAGTAAAAAAAAGTTGCTTGAAATTTCACTACTGCTGACATTTTGATTTTTTTCTTTCTAGACTTCTTTCTGTACACATGCATATGATCATATTTTTAATAAAATGCAAATCATACTGTATATGAAGTTTCATGCTCTATTTTTTAAATGTAATATTATATCATGAACATTTTCCTTGTCATTATACGCTGTACAAGAGCAAGGTTGTAATGGGTGTCTACTATTTTTTTTTTTTTTGTTTGTTTGTTTCACTATGATCTCAAATGTTGAACCTTGGCTTGTTTCCAGCTCTTCAACATTTTAAAATAAAGCCCTTATAGATATCCATGTATGAAAATAATTTACTCAGTATAAATTTTTAACAGTTTAGTTACGAGGTCAAAAGCCAAAAATAATTTAGAGGTTTTTGATGCCTACTGCTGCTTCGTTCCCCACGACACTTGTGGGCAAATGACTGCCTATTTTTCCTCAACTTCTAATCTGATTTTTAGTTTCTGTCATATACTTTGAGACCTCCCTGCACTGCACAGTCCCATCATGCCACTGTTCTCTTGTGTTCTCCCTTCACGGATTTTCTTGGGGAGAGAGAACAGTGTAGTCTTTGGACTATTTGGAATGATGTCCCTGTATTCCTCTGAAGTCTTTACTTCTCCACAGTGATTTTTTATGTTAATCGTCTGAGATAATGTGGGTTTCTTTCAGTGTGACCACCTGAGAAACTCCTACCTGTCTTCTGGATGCAGAACAGGCCTGTCCCCTCTGCAAAACTTCCTCTGACAACCAGGCTGGTTTCAGTCTTTTCTCTCTGCTGTCCCCGCTCCCCCCAGGCCTTACCACACTGTGTTACGTGTGCCACTGTCTCCAGGTGCAAGTTCCCTAGAGGTAAGGCAACTTCAAGTACTGTGTCTTCAGGGCCTGAAACAGTACTCAATAACTGTAGCTACTCAATAGATGTTTATTTTAAAAATCCAAAGTTTCATCTCTATTTCCATACCATACAATCTTACAGTCTACCCCATCTCCTCTAAATATTTACTGAGAGTTTGTCTGGTTATGTGTCTTTAATAACCCAGAATTGGGGTATAGAAGAAAGAAAAATAAACAAGGAAATGGACTTAGACAAAGAAAAAGAAAGGAGAAATCGATCAGAAAATAAATGGCTGTACTTTATATGATTTTACAGTTTATGATGTTATTTCCTCACTTTGGTTTATTGTAGTATCTTAACCTCCTCCTGGAAAGGACAAACTCTCCTACTATTGTTGTGATAGAAATCTGTCATCTGTAGAACCCCTTTCCATTGCTGACATGTAATTATTAGTGTTCATTGATGTGTCCCTATTGCCTAGCACAGTGCTCAATGCGCTGTAGGCATTCAGTAAATATTTATGAACTCAGAGAAAAAGCATCATTATCTTCATCTTATAGACGAGGAAATGAAGCTTAGAGAGCTGGCAGTTCAACTGAGTAAGTTGTATTCCAAGTTTGGTGCTTTTGTTTACTACATGTCAGCTAACACTGTGGACATTTTTCCCCATGGGAAAAATATGAAAGTGGAGGAAAAGTGGAAGAAGAGAATAATGGAGGAATAGGAAAAGCAAAAGGGAAGAAGTCATAGAGGTAAAGAGAGAAGAGAAGGGATTTGGAGCTGACACCTTGATGATGAGGGGTAGGTAAACACTCTGTTTCCACATAGAATGGGCATTTTCACTCCATCAAGCTTAGCAAATCAAAATTCTACTAAGGAGAGCTATATTTTTAAAACCACTCAAAATAAGAATCCAACCATTCTTAGTCCATTATAACGTTCTGTATTCTCAGGCCAGTGAATGACTATACTGCCACAGTGCCCAGTGGTGATGAGTGAGGTTTCCCAATGCCTCAGAGAAACTCTGGGCAAATACAACAGTGTAGAGGGGAGACAGAGGAAAAGGACCTGTCTCTCTTTTTCCAGCATAGTCTGGGGGCATCATGATTTGGCCGGAGGCTGTCATTTCCTGCCTCCTTCTCTTTGTATCCACAAAGGACTGGGATAGCTTACCTCAGAGTCCTCTCTGCTCTTTAGTGGCCATTTTCTTCAGGCTTCTGTAACATAAGTGCAGCTCAACTGCTAGCCATGGTGTCCCTCCCTGCTTCCACAACTTTAGGACCTGCTGCTGTTTCTTAAAAAAGGGGAGGAACCCTAATTTAGTCAAGATCAGTGATGGAGGTATCTGGGCTTAGTATTAACATCTCCAACCTCCCTAAACCCAAATTAACTATGATGAATATGGTATCTTTTCCAGATTCTTTGGTTTCAGCATTGTCATTTTCCCCAAGACATGACAACTGTCAAACAACTCTATCACGCTTATCCTCTCACTGAAAGGTAGCCATGACAGCTGTGACTTGGCCCAATCATAGGCCTATACTTGGACCAATCAGCAGGCCTGAATTTGAACAAATTGCTGGCCTGCACAGACTAATCACAGGCTTTCAGTCTCTGTATACTTCTCTGGTTAGTCCAGGAGGATTCCTTCTAGTGTACCAACCCTTCATTCAGACTCACTTTGGTGGTCCTGTAAACCTGCCTGTGATTTCTTTGTTAGGCAGCATGGGCTCTGATGTTCCTGTAAATCTAGTCCAGATTCTTATCCTGAGTAGTGTGGGAAGAGTGGTCATTTCAAAAGAAAGAACAATAAACACTAGGGAGCCATTAGCCTTGAAGAATTCTAGACAGTAGCAGACAACAAAGAGTAGCGGTAGAGACCAGCCCCAGCACAGTCATCCTGTGGTGTCCAGCGTGATCTGGCATCAGATGGTGGTGGCTGGCTCAGCATCTACTGTATTGACTGTTGGCATCCAACATCATCTGCTATCATTTGGTGGCATCAGGACCATTAGTAGAGCTTTGCTTTACTGATTCATGATTTCTATCTGAATTGAGCAAAAATTCCTTCAACTGATTGGCAAAAGAGGGATTAGGTTAAATTTTTTCATAGACAGGGAGATGTACTTTCTGCAGTAGCACACATAAATATAAACAAATTCTGTGGTGTAGATATCACTTCTGTCTTTGCAGCAATGTCTGGTAGCATTTTTGGATTCTCGGGAGGCAGCAGAGCATAGAATTTAAACGTGTAGACTGTGGAACCATTCTGCCTGGACTAGAATCCTGGCACAGTCACTCTTCTTTTGAGTTCTTGGGCAAGTTATTTAATCTATCTGTGATCTCATTTACTCATTTGTAAATATAAATAAGAAAAGTACCTAGCTCATTTGAATGTTGTGAAGGTAAAATGGGATAAGGCTTGTAAAGGTCATAGAGCTGAGTTGGCCCATGGTCAACGTTGAGTAAATGTTGACTCTCTTTGTTAAAATTGCCTTTAAGTTCCAGACATGGCTGGATATGCCTGCAGTTTGTCTAGTGGCAGAGAACATAGCATTATTTTTCATTGGCTAAAATCCTCAAAGCATTGCTTTAGTATTGGAAAGGCACCTATTTCTAGACTATACCTCAGGGGGTTTTGCTCCTGGCCAAAGCTTTTAGAAAAGTGGATAGACTTGTCAGGAGCCATTGTTCACAAATTCTCTTTTTGCCTTTTCCTTTTCAGTACTAGGGATTGAATTCCAATCCACAGTAAGCTATATTAGCACTAACCTATATTCCCAGCCCTTTGAATAATTTTTTATGTTGAGATAGGATCTTACTGAATCTTACTAAGTTACCTGGATGAGCTTGAACTTGTGATATTCCTGCCTTAGCCTCTCAGAGTGCTGGGACTGCAGGTGTGTGATACCACACCCATCTGACAGTGAACTCTTTAGGGTTCTTTGTCCTCAATTCTACCTCAGCTGGTTTCTAGAGGTCACATTGCATTCTCTTTCTACAACATGCCATCAATATTCACTCAGTAGATACAAGACTGGAGTTGGAACTACCACAGACACCTCAAAGCCTAGTCATAGAAAACTCAGTAGTTGGGGTTTAGTACTTTCTGAGAATAGTTACAAACAGACTAAGATAGCCAGTTAGTAGTTTATTTAGGCAGCATGGTACCTATTTGGCAGTAAATGTATCTATCTTTCTATTATCTCTCTGTTTACCTATCTTCTATCATTTATTATCTATCACCTATCTCTCATCTATTAACTTATCTATTATCTATCTATCTATCTATCTATCTATCTATCTATCTATCTATCATCAATGCCTCCAGTCAGAGCATATACTCATTAATCTGTTGAAACGTTTATTTTACTAAGTGGAGCAGATAGGTATTTCTAGTCTAGATGATCTAGTTCAGCAGTGGTATTACATTTATTTGTCACTGGCAACATTTTCAGTTTTAGTAGGGTGATGTTCCTCTGCACCTCCTCTCTTATTCCCTGACTATTGCTCTCCTTTGTATACCAGACATTATTTGAGTTACTCACTGGGGCTAACCAGGTCTTCTATGACCCAATATCTTATTACACCTCTTTTTCCTCTCTTGCCTCTGTCAAATACTCCATTCTTATCCTTTTAATTAAACCCCCCAGAACATAGAGCTCCAATCCAAAGGCATGGAATGATTCTTGGTAGTGACTCCATTGCCTTTACTCATGCTGTCTGCTCCTATATCACCTCCTTACCTGAATAAACCTTGATTATTTGGGACTTAGTTGAGACTTCACATCTTTCTGGAAGATTTCTCTGACTTCCTTGTGTTCAGGTAAATTTGCTCCTCAATTTTTCAAAAACATCCTGTTGGAATCTTTATCTTAATCTTTACATATTATGTTCTAATTTATGTATTATGCTTTCTTCTTTACTAGACTTATATCTTAAAACAATAGAAATAGTGTTATCTACTTTCTAATGTCCATAGTAACTGGTACATCTTAGGGTCTCAATTAAGTGTTTGTTGAATTTATTCCCAGATAAATATGATTAACTATGTAAAAAAAGAAATAAAGCTGAATGTGTTGGCACACACCTGTAATCCTAGCAGTGTGGGAGACTGAGACAGGTGGATCAGAAGATTGAGCTCAATGTGGGCAACTTAACTACTTTACAAGATTCTGTCTCAAAATAAAATATAAACAAGGGTAGTTCACTGTGAAGACCTGAGTTCACTTTCTAGGACTGCACACATATACACACACACAACCACAGTTATACACACATACACACACACAACCCAATAAAAATACAGGAAATTTGTGGAGCACAACTAAAAAGAGACAAAGCCAGAAGATAAAATTAAATATGCTTCTTAGAAATGAAAGTAATATAGTTATTGAAATAGGAAACTTAATGAAACACAGAGATAATTTAAAGAGAGAGCCTGAGAGACTTAAAAGTTAAAATAAAAGGAATCATAGAAAAATAATATTTGAAAAGAATTTTCTAGTATTAAGAAGTCTCTGATTCAGCAAGTATGAGTCTTGATTAGGTTAAACAAAATGGACACCTGGACACAATGCAGAAGTTTAAAAGAGGAAAATATCATAAAAGCAATCATAGTGAGTAGAATGTACCTAATGGTCAACTAATAGTTAGAGGGACAGTAGACTTTTTAGCCATTACAGTGGAAACCTGAAAACAATAGGGAGGCAAGAGCTTAAAACATTGAAGGACAACCCACCTGTTCATCAGCAGACACAAGGAGAGACAAAATGTGGTGTGGGTAGATACAGTGGAATATCATTTCCTTATAAAAAGGAAACAAACTTGAACACATTTCCATACAGACAAACCTTGATATTATTATGCAAAGTGAAACAGATCAGACACATAAGGACAAATATATGATTTCATTTATACAAGATATGAAGAATGGGCAAATTCATAAAGACAGGCAGAATAGAGGTTTTCAGGTGAGGTTTCTCAGGTTTTCACCTGAGAAAGAACAGGTGCC